TGGTGATGTGTGGCCCCAGGTCTCACACACTAGTGTCACCTGGCAGCTTCTGTTTTGACGTTATTCTTCTTCACCCTCTCCAAGGTAGGACCTTCAACAAAGGGGTGGATTCACATCTGATCTCTGGGCCGTTTGATGTGTGTATCACCTTAATACCGTACTCACTTGCACAAATTAGACTGCAGAAATCTTACCTGATGAAGCCTTCTTGCCTGCTATGAATTGGAGCCAACAGAGTAACTCCTCCTTTTACCAAAAGCCATCCTGTGCATTGCAGTCAGTTCCAGTGTCGCGACCTTGAACATTACCTCATCACCAAATTCTCATCTGCTTAAAAATGTTCCTCCAGGTCCCTTCCTTGAGGCTGATGGGAAATGTGATCACTTTAATGTAGTTAGATGTTTTTAGATGTCTTCTAATCAGGCTTTTCAGAACCTACTTTCACGTGTGAGACAACTCCCTGTCCTCTTCTATTCTCTTTCTTTCTGTTTAAAGAACCAAAACAATAAATTCTCAAATTATGAGAAAGTGCATTTTTCCTGTTTTTGTTTGTTTGTTTGCTTATGTGTTTTTTAAGAGACAGGGTCTCACTCTGTCACCCAGACTGTAGTGTGCTGGTGCCATCTTACCTGCTTTCTTGATACAAAAATAAAGACTTAAAGAGCTTCAGCTTTAACAAATTCAGTCTCTCTTTCTTTCAACTCAAATTGTAAATCTTCAGTGTACCTTCTTTTTAATCTTTTCTTTTTTTTTTTTTGAGACAGTGTCTCACTTTGTCACCTAGGTTGGGGTGCAGTGGCACAATCTTGGCTCACTGTGATCTCTGCCTTCCAGGTTCAAGCAATTCTCATGCCTCAGCCCCACAAATAGCTGGGACTATAGGCATGCACCACCACACCCAGCTAATTTTTATATTTAGCACTATCTGGCATATAGTAGCTATCAGTAGAAATTAGATAAATCAGTAAAAATTATCATGGTAGCTCCTGTTACTTTGGTTAAGAACTTCTGTGCGGCATTGAGTAATAGCTGTGTAATGGGCTCCCTGTCTTACTTTTTGGACCACACTAAGAATTTGATGTTGCATTCCAAATGAGCTGTGGAGCCAGTTTATATCTTCCTCCCAACTCTTGGCCAGATTCTGCCCTGAAAGCTCTGAATAAATAACCTCCCTTTTGAGATCTAGTGTCATTTGCTGTTTGCGAGTTTCTGACATAGAAACCAAGTTTTATGATTTAGTTTGCCCAGATAGCATTTAATCTTTAGAATTGATATTTAAGTCCCCAAGCCTGTGTATATTTAGGGAATCAGGAACCTGTCTCATTCGCCATGTATCCCTGGGATCAGAGGACAGTCAGAGGTCAGTAAATATATGCTTCATAAATGAAATCTTGAGACTTGCGGTATCGCAGGTTTTATGTCTGGCGGTGGCTTAGCAATGCCGTTCCCTCCCTCCGTCTGTCTCCTCCCCTGCCTCAGTCCTAGGGGAATTCTCTGCTGGCCTGTGGCAATGCCTCACAGGTCAGGACTTGCTCTGCTTAAAGAGCCTAGATGGGCTTAGTTCCCCTACTTCGGGAGAGAAGGTCTCAGTAGAAAATGGGTGGTAATCGACTTTATGTAGCGGTTCTAATGGGTGTGAAGGATAGAAGCAAGACCAGTGAAGGAAGGATCCTGGAGGTTTATCCTCCTAACTTCCCCTGCACTGGTCTGCAGTGAAAAGGCCACTGGGCGTGTTTTGAAGCCCTGCATCAAAGCAGAGGCTAAGTAGACAGCAGACTGCTGGAGAGGCTACACAAGAAAGTCTTCCACAGAAGGAAGGTTTCTCCAAGTCAAGTGTTTCTTTCAACTTTAAGAACTGAAAATTGCGGTAGAAATTGCTAGCTCAGAGCCTGATTTCTCATTTGGGCTCACATGTACATTTTTTTTTGCCAATATGCTCACATTCTGGCAATTTTTCTTCTCATTAGCACTTCTGCTAATGGATGGGCATGGGGAAGAAAAGGAGCTGAACTCACAGGAAGCTGTTTATCTGCTTTGCTGCAAGAAGGGCGAAATGGGCTCTCGAGTCTGAAGCTCGGTTTGCAGGACTGTTTCTTATTTTCATTGCCCTTTTTCTTCCTGCCTTTTATGCCCACTGACTGCCCAATGCTGGCAATGTAGCATTTTTGCGTTTTCTTTTTGATTTCTCTGTAAATGCTAGCATTCCAAAAATAATGTCTTCATGCTATTTGCTTATTTAGAGATGAAAGCAATTGAAAATGGTTTAGCTTTTATTTTAACTTTGCGGTAATCGTATATTGGAATTTTAGACCCTTTGTTCTCTGCACAGTGATAGATGAGGAAGCCTGACGCATTTTGTCTTAGTAAACACTGTGGGCTGAGCTCCACGGATTCCTTACCTGAGGGACTGAGTGTAGAAATGTCACAGGTAGGGTGCGGCACAAGCATCCGGTAAACAGAGTGTGGCCTTGGTGTAGGGCAAAGTCCCCGGGGAATGTTTTAGACCGACCACATCCACTTCCCTGTATCTTTCCAGGAATGGCCCTTCTAGGGATGGCATATTCCCTTTATAGGCTGGGAAGGTCCCCTTCTTTGTGCTAAAGAGAGAAGGACAGGGGCAGACTCTGGAAGGCCTTCTCAGGAAGACTCAGTGGTAAGTTGAATAGTAAGAAAGAAGGAAAAACCAAAGATGGCTGTTGGGTTTCTGTCTTTGATGACTGTAACTGATATTGCAGAAAGGTGTGTCTGAAGTGTCAGGTACCTGTAGAACATCCCTGTGGAGATACCTGGAAGGCAGTTGACAATTCCCATCTATGGTTCAGGAGAGAATCTGCAGTTCAGGAGAGAGGACCCAACAAAACATAGAACCATCAATCAACAATTCAAAAATGATCGTTGGAACCAGAGCAGAACAAATCCAGTGAAGGCCAGCACCTTAGAGAGATCCAGCATTTCACATTAACCTCGGCTGCAGATAAATAAATCTAGAAAGTCGAGCCCTGGCAGAACCTGGTGACAGTGGCATGACAATGTCACAACTGTCACAGTGGGATACAGCAGCCAGCCTAAGGAGATGGGATGGGGAGCATGAGGTCTGAGCAGGGGTCACCCTGAGGAGTTGTTTTCTAGGAGATGACAGAGGCCTGAGAAAGGGAGGTGACAGCATGAAGGCAGCAGGGGGAACTGCTCTTGGAGCAGGTGGTGGGCAAGGCAAGGAGCCTAGGAGAAAGGAGTGTGACTTAGGAGGGGGTGAGGTGGAAGATTTTCCTTTTCATTTTCTTCCTTCCTTCCTTTCTTTCTCTCTCTCTCTCTCTCTTTCTCTCTCCCTTTCTCTCTCCCCCTTTCCTTCCCCCTCTTCTCTCTCTCTCTTCTCCCTCTCCTCGTCTCCCCTCTTTCCCTCTCCTCCCCCTCTCTCCCCCACTTTCTCTCCCCCCTGCCATCTACTTCTATGGGAAGACTTCATCACAGTTTTATACTTGAAGGGAAGAAACCTTGAAAGAGGAGCTGATCAAAGCTTCAGCATTGAGAGGACATTTTCTCTACTGTTGGTGTACTTCACATTCAGACATTGCTGTCACTGGCTTAGCTTTTCTGGGCGATAGTGGTGAAAAGATTGATGAATTGGACAATCGAGGAGTAAAGGTAGTGTTTGAGGTCTTAATAGATGTAGTGGTACCTCAGCTTCCAGATGCTCAGTAAGAATTGTGATAGAATTGCTGATAAAATCAGTAAAAAATGCTTTATATGGCATTTTAGGTATCAGTTTACATGATATCGTTGAATTCTCACAACAACCTTTTGACACGGGCATGATCCTCCTTTTCCTGATTCATGCTAAGAGAAATTTCATGAGTTGCCTGAGGTTCCATTGTTGGTCAGGGCCAAGGTGTAGCTGGACTTTCTCCATCTGAGTCCCATAAACCATGCATAGTGCTGCTCCTATTGTGGCTTCTCCGTGCTCTTCTCCTCCTGGGCTAGAAGGCTGCTGGGTCATCAGACTGATCCTGAATGTCCCTGGAGCACTGTCAGAATCATACAGCACGTGGATTAGAGGAGCAAGCTGGTAGCTCCTGACCAGGGACTGTGACATGACATTTGTCAGTGATGGGGTTGTCCATCTGTCACCCAGCCAAAGGCCAGGTCTCATGAAGCTTCCCCAAGGGCCAAGCAGGTGCCTGTCTCCCTGGCCCCACTATCTATGCAGCCTCCGAAGCATTGTGCAAGAGAAAAGGCAAGGCTGCATGACTCATGTGTGGCCTCATCCTGAACGTGTCTTGTCTTGACCAGGTGGGCGTGAGAAATAGATTTTACCTGCTGGATTTCCCTAATGGTTGACACTTGTGTATGCCGGTGTGTGCAGACAAGTACCAAGGAGGAATTCATTTAGCTAAAGAAGCAAATAGAGTGATGTATCACTGAACGGCAGGGATACGTTCTGAGGAATGTGTCCTTAAGCAAATTCTTAGTTGTAGAACATCATAGAATGTTCTTACACAGATGTAGAAGGTGTAGGCTCCTTGCACTTGCAGGCCGTATGGCAGAAACTATTGCTGTGACCACTGTTGTATATGCAGTCTGTCATTGAGTGCAGGGTCATTATGTGACACCTGACTGTATTTCAGGGAACTAACTGTAACCAGAGCTACTTTTAATGTTGATCACTTAAAAAAATGATAGATTACTATATTGCTTTTTATGCCTTCTTCTTGAACAAAAACTAAATTCTGAGGTGGATGAAAAAAGAAAAGAAGTAACAAAAGAAAATTCCCTCAGTAGAGATAGCTCTTCCTCTGGGGCACCTTGTCCCAGTCCCTTGGTTGGTCACTGCAAAGGCAGGTCTCAGCATTCATGCCCCAGTGGTTTTCCCGAGAACATATCACAGGTGACGGGGCCTGCTCATCTCAGGCTTTCTGGGTGTCAGGTGCTCACCAGGTGGGAGCAGTCGCGAAGGCAGACATCTGGGGCTCACCTTCCCTAACCCCTGCTCATTGTCCCCACAGCCTTTCCGCTGTGCCCATTGCCATTACTCCTGCAACATATCTGGCTCTCTGAAGCGGCACTACAACAGGAAGCACCCCAACGAGGAGTATGCCAACGTGGGCACCGGGGAGCTGGCAGCGGAGGTGCTCATCCAGCAAGGTAGGCGAGGGACCAGCCAGCAGGGGCCCTGCCCTCTTCCTTCTGGGCCACATCCCCTGTTGAGAAGAGCAGCTGACATCCTGCAGTTCGGTTCTGATGCGTAAACCTCCCGGTGACGTTCACTCTTCATCGTCATAATTGTTGTCTTCATTGTCCCTATCATTGTTTGTCAGCGTTACTTCTTGCCTGGTTAGTATGAAAACAACCTTAATGGAGGTCTAAAATGACAGAAGTGAAAATTCACCCGCAAACTCTCCTGCCCCCAACAGTGCTCACTTGCCAGTATTCCCTTCCGTTCTTTGTCCGTGCATACAGTTCACGTAGAGGAAAGTTCACCGTTGTCTTTCTTTACTTCACCTTCGCCGGAGCAGTGTGCTTTTCTTTGATAGATTGTCTTCCTAGTTGTGAGTTCTGAGGACTTTTTTGTAATTCAATGTTGGATGGAAATACTTTAACAATTCCGTTATTGAACATTGTGGAGTTTTTAGATTTTTCTTTCTAAAGCTATTATAAGCATATTTATGTGTGGACTTTTTTGGAGTATCTAAAAATATTTATTGAGCACGCTTCTTACATATTCATCCTGAAAAGAAAAAAAGACATTCTAGAACATTTAAACTAATGAGAGTTGATGAAAACCTCTTTTCATTTTAAATTATTAAAATTGTGTGGGGTTTTGTTTTTTCAGTAAATATTCACATATTTCCACTTGAGAGGGCTTAGCTCATGTGCTGTTACCATACGGAGGAATTCTGTTGTATTTATATCTGCACTTCAATAATTCAGCTAAAAAATGATTGCAGCACACAGTTAGCTGCTTCTCTTTCCTAAGTCCTGTGACTATTTGAAGCTGAAGACAGATTTAGAAATCTGCCCCCAGTAAACAGAGATGTGGAATTGTAGACTGCTGCAGCTGGGGATGCTTGGAGTTTTGATTCAGCGTGACGCTTCGCTCTCTGTAATAGCCATGAAATGCATCTTAATGTAAAACAAATGAATTGACTATATCCCTCAGCACTTTCAGTGACAGGCCTGATGCACGGAAATAGATGAACAGCACAGAAAACTCAGGATAATTTTAAAGCCATCCATCTGGGGTAATGGTGAGCATGTGCCTTTGCTTTCTTAATGGCAGTTTTATGGAGCCAGAGAGCAGGATGTGCAGCGGGGAGGGCCCTGGCTCCAATCTGCATTCTTCCTTTTCAGCTCCACCATCTTGGATGTGTTACCCAAGCTCTCCCTCTTAGGCCCTTCCCTCTAGAGTGGAGTTCACAGCAGCCATCTTCCACGATGGTGAAGAGGATTAAATGAAAAAATACGTGCATGCAGTACACGTTCAGTCCTCGCTTTTGAGTATTTTTTTCTGAACATATCTAAGACTTGTGGAGCAATTGCATTATTTTTAATGACCCACCCTAGTGCCCTATGTCCAGGAATCACAGAGGAGAGAATAGATTGGCTTACAGCCCCAGTAAATAACTGGAGTTGCAGGTTAGGGATTCTTTTTCATATCCTGCACACTCTTGGGTTGGATTCCCAGGAAATAGATATTTACTGTGTCTGCTGGGACAGGCGTGAAGATCTGACTGATGATACTATCATTGCCCTGTGCTTCCAAACTTTCATCATTGCTTTGCAAAAAATGTGCTGAGGTTGAACTGTTGCATGCCCTAAGTTTCCATTTAACTTTCCGAGACTCTCTGTAATCAATTGGCATTCCCTGACAGGAGCGGGGTTTATATTTTATCTTTGCAGGGGTGCTTTTGGTTCTTCTTTCAGAGATAAACACACACACACACACACACACACACACACACACACACACAGAGCAAGAGAGAGAGAGAGAGAGATCCACAGTTGTTCCTAGGCATCCATGGGGGGCTGGTTCCAGGACCCTCCGCAGATACCGCAATCCACAGATGGCTCAAGTCCGTTATATAAAGTGGCGTGGTGTTTGCATATCGCCTACACACATCCTCCTGTGTACTTCAAGTCGTCTCCAGATTACTTATAATAAATAATACAATGTCAATGGCATGTGAATAGTTATTGCACTTTGGTTTTCAATTTGTATTGTTTTTTATTTTTGTATTGTTATTTTTATTTATTTTTCCTGAATATTTTCAATCTGTAGTTGGTTGAATCCATTGATATGGAGGACCATCTGTTGTTCTACTCACTCCCCCAGAAATATTTTCATGAGACTTCATAATTTCATGTTTCAATATAAAGAAAGATGTCTTAAAATAACATCATAAAGAACATGAATAACATGTATTTTTCTCAAAATGATTTTAGAGTCTCCTTACGCCACGTGCAGGGATTACTTGTGTGTCAGCTGTGTTGCAGAGCGGCACACTGTGACATGTGCAAAGCTATTGATTGCTAAAACACCCTCTTGCCTGCCTTGCCACAGGGATTCTGGGATTCCAGGGAGGGGTTTCACGCACAGTGCTGCAGAGGAGGCCAGGAAGATAGTCTCAAAGGAGCTGAGAGTTCCCACGTTAGATACTTCTGTTCTTTGTGGGTTCTATATGACATTCTCTGTGGAGTTGGGTGGTTTACAATGTGCTTCCAAAGCTTGCTGGGAAGGGTGGCTGCTTAGGCTCTCCCCAAGTAGGAGGGAGGGCAACCTGACTTATAGTATCTGCCAATTCCTGTAGTGTAAATTCTTCTACAATGGCCAATTTTAAGCTGCTAACATGATGTCACTGAATATGGAACTGGAGGATGTGTGCACATTTGGCTTACGAGCTAATATCTTGGCTCCCACGTACCTCTCATCCAGAGGGCCCTGGGTGACATTGGCAGGTCTCTGCCACCAGGGTCCTTCTGGATGCACTGATCCCTCAGAACTCTAATACTTTGTAGTAATTAAGCTACTACTGAGAACTATGTAAATATTGTACTCCTGGCTTGTATTTATGTGCATCTGATGCTTTGGTTCCTCTTAGCCATTATTTATTCATTAATATGGATTTGAGGCATTCTCTCACACAAATGCATATTTCATGCTGTTTAAGGAAAAAATACTTGTATTGCTTCAGTGGGCCTGCCCCTTTCCTTCCCTTAAAATATGCCTGATTAAGCTAGCTCAAGAACTGGTTTAGTAAATCACAGGCTGTGAGAGGCTCAGATACTTTGGTGCTAAGCTTTACGAATCTTTTGCTCACTCCTAGAGCATATAGCAGGGTGAAGATGGGGCTTAGCAGGCTTTCCAGTGGCTTCCAAGCCCTTCCTCAAGTCTCTCTGGGTTACTGGAATGAGAACAGGCTTGGGAGTCAGATGGACCTGGGCCGGGATTTTTGATCACTGTGGGCCTTTGACCAGGTGCTTGACCTCTCTGAATCTTGCTTTATATACCTCCAAAGAGGAAGGCTCATACCTGCCTCCATAGCAGTTGCAAAGATTTGATATCATGCTGTAAGATTCCCAGAGAGTGCCAACAGTAAGTGCTTGATGAATGGCTGAAATCCACGATTACATTTATCCATATATTTCTACTTTGAGCACGCATCTCTCAAGCGCCTACAGTGTACCTGGCACCACGCTAGGTGCTGGGACTTGGTGTCAAGCAAGGCAATCATTGGTGGTATTGTTATTCCTGCCCAGGTTGGGGACGAAGGCTAGGCAGCTCCCTCCAAAGCTCTGTGTTCTAATTGTAGCAGAAGGACTGCATCCCTTTCAGCTATGCCCTGGAGCTCACAGGACCAGAGTTAGCTGCTTCACCCAGGTGGCTGTGCCCCTTCTGTGTCCTCTAGTTTTAGAGAGTTATTGAAGTGTAAGGGTGGGTAACTGGAACGAGAAAAAGCAGTGAGAGCAGAAGTGTCAAGGAGAAGAAGTCTTAGTATTTGGCATCTGCTAGAATCTTTATGTTACTTTGAAGTGCTATATTAGAAAAATATAAATATGAATGCATGTGTTCTTTGGATGTATATTCGTATATTGGTGTTTTACACCAGATTCAGGGAAAATAGCTTAGTAGGAAATCTAGAAACTGTGAGGTAACCCATAAGTGATGTATTTGATTTTTAGACATTTTAATTTTCCAATTGTTTTTATTAGGGCCCAGATTCAATGAGTTACTGGCACATGCTTCCAGTGACGTGATATAATGCTGTGTTATTGATTGTTATATGTTAATTTATCTCTCACAGTGGCCCTGTGAGATTGGCATAATCATTCCTATTGTAAAATGAGGAAATGAAGGGAGTGCTTATGACTGACTTCAGGTCACACCCAGCGAGCAAGTGGCCAAGCCAAACCCAGTCTCCTGATTCAGTGTCTGTATCTTGTTACTCTCATGTTAAATGTCCCTTAATGTTTGTAGATGTTTGCACTTATTAGAGAGGAGGAAGAGAAAGGGGAGGAGAAGGACAAGGCATGGTCATCTCTTAAGCGACTGGGTCACATTTGCTGGTGGTCATATAATAGTTTGTAGAAAAATCACACACATGGGTACTGTTTATTTTCTCTTACTTCTTTGTCCCCAAGGTTAGTTGCTCATCTGACCCAAGACTGACCCTGGGATCTCTTTCCAAGCCTTTCCCTTTGGTTATCCAGAGTATCTCAGATCCCAAGATTTGGGACCAAATGTGAGGGAGGGGGTGAATGGGAAGATCTCACTTATGCTCTGTCTACCAAGTGTTTCTCATTGGGATTTGGTACATCAGCCTGGCTAACAATAAAATGCACTTTGTTTCCACTGCTGCATTTTCCCTTTTGCTCTGTGGGAAGAGGGGCTGGGATTTGAAATAGGATTCAGATAGTCCCAGGTAGGATCTAATATTGTGTGCCATGTCACCAGGAACCCTCCACCTCAGTGCTTGCATGTGACTTCCAGTGAATTTCTACCCTTAAGCATTTCCTAGCGCTGAACTGGGGCTCTGGCTGGGCCCTAGGACAGACTCTGAGTTAAAAGACAATAGGAAGTGAAAATGTCAGCAAAGTTCTAGTCCATATTTTACTTGTTAATCTGTATAATGAAATTGTTCCATATC